TTGCCCTCTAGTGCAGAGCTAGGTGTGGCGCGTTGAGATGACTCTGAAAGCGTTTGGTAGTTGCAAGCACTAAAAGCATTTTGGGGACAATTTCTGACTTGCACTAAATTTGGCTTTTTTTTTAAAGTGCTTTTCTGCAAAATGAAATTTTCACAAAAGCCAATATCAGCCAGATAGACAGGTAGAATTATTTCCATTGCAAAGCTTACCTTTCCATAGAGATGAGATTTTGTTCATGGTTGTACAATATACTAAGAGAACGGGATTGAGGAGAACTAGACTCAGTTACTATATCCACCACTGACTCACTTTTTGACTTAGGGCAACTTGTTTGGTCTTTTGGGGAACCTGGTTTCTCCATCTGTTTAAAAAAAAAAAGCAATATTAGTTATATCAAAGGAGATATTCATCAATATCTGGAAGTGGCTTTAGGATCTCAGAAGTGCTAAGTTTTATCACAAAAATGGAGTCAGTTGTGCTTTCCCAGAGGCCTGCATTTTTTTTTTCTACTGAATCAATTATCAATGATCATTTTAATATAATTTTCAGTGTCTCAGTTACATAGTTTGTGTCTATGTGATTTTTGTGGTCTTATATCTTGCCTCTTTCTGTGAAAATGCATGTTGTCACTTTTCCTTTCAGCTTCTTTGTAATTACCCAAAGTAGTATTAACCTGTTAAAACATTTTTGAGTTGTCAACATGGAATGGCATTAAAACCTCATTACTCCACAGCAAACCTTGCTGTGCATTGTGTTTACCTTCTGATAAGATTTCTAATAAGAAGCCACATGCCACTGGAATGAAGGGGATACTGTTGGGTCCAGTGTGACTTTGCATAATAAAAATATGCAAAAATAAGTGACACCCCTGTAGAGCTTTCCTGTAGAGAGAGAGTTAACATAATCAAATTGCTTCTTCCACCTTTTCTTTGAGTCAGAAAGTCTGTGCGCATGTTTTCTGGAAAGGCTTTACAAGTGCTGTGATCTTGGACCTCACTGCAGGGATTCCAGCACCTGTGTGAAGTTCTTTTGATCACGACTCCACTGACAGATGGGCGTAGGGGACTGCCCTGTCTTGTGGGATGATGGGCCAAGGCCCTCTGCCAGGTCTAGAGTTGAGATGTGCTGAACTGGAGTTCCAGATAGAGCAGGCTAAGCTTGCTAAGCTAAGCTAAGCTAAGCTAAGTTACTATAACAAAGCCTGAGGCTGCAAGAAAACTCTCCGCCCAACGTACATTTCCGAAATGTTGATAGCAGATGGCTCTTCCATCCCACAGGCTGGGGATGTGCTGACTTTTCAGTCTCAGTGTTACTGGTTCTCACATCACAGGACTTCTGATTCTTGACTTTTTAATGAGCTTCACCTGATGAGCTAAGCTAAACATGCTTTTAAAATATATTTAAGGTGTAAAGATTGTTAGTAATTCTGTTGCTCAAGCTCTCAGAGGTAGCATAATTTCCTTTTTCCTTGGTACCTAGGCAAAATGTGGTCTAGATTTAATTCTAGTCATAGATGAGGAAGGAATCTCAGCAGAGCTAACCAGTACTGCTGTTTGAATAAGATGTTCCACCACCTCTGTTTCATGCAGTAAGTGATTTCCATTAAGACTTTCTCTTTTCTGATACCCCTGCTTGTTCACTAGCTCTATTCTGTTTATGGKTTTTTTCTCCCACCTTTTCCTCAGCCTTCTCTGTGAAACCCAAAGACATCTGGCAGTGGTACTCACACTGAGAGGTCACCTGCTTACAGAACATCTGACTGAAGAAATCTGCCTGTTTCCAGTACTTCACAGAAACGAACAACAACTCGGGWTCCAGAGCGCTGTTGTCTGGCCAAGTGTATGAAGAGAATTGGTTTGGACTGGAGGCAGCAGAAAGGAGCTGTTTGTGAAAGGACTCAGTCTGCAGACATATGCGGTCTGAAAACTTGATAAGCACAAGATTTCATTCCTCCAGGTCAATAATCTTCAGGACAGGGCAAAAGGAAGGCAGAAGTTGAGGAGATACTGCTGTTTTGGAGTCTGCATTTTCAGGTCACAGTCCTGTCAGGTCAGCAAAAGGCATGCAGTGTGAATTGTGCCAGACAGCACTTGATAGCTGTGYATGAATATTTAGCATCTGTCTTTATTATCAGCTTCATTTCACGTTTTGACAGGCATGTCACTACGTACATTCTTTGAAGACCTACTAGGCAAACTCCGTTTTTTTGCTTTTGTTAGGCACCATGCAATGACCCAAAGGTAAGTCTGGGGAAGCTTTTGTGTCACCCTGCCTCTTGGAGCTGTCTTCCAGGTAATCATCTCTGTTTGGATCAGAGTCCCTCCTAACGAGGGAAAGAATGGAAAATACCCTTCCATGTAAGCAGTGACTAATCCAGACATAGTCACAGTCAGACTGCCTGCTTCCTGAGCTGTGGTGCTGCTTACAGGAGCACATGTATTTGTTCATTGACTAATCATCAGTTGGAACATATGGATGGAGGCTGACTCCTAATCTGTGACTCACGTCCTTGTTCTAGATCCTGGCGCTAACCAGCGGCCAATCTGCCTTTACCCTCTTTAACTCATCCCTTTACCTCATTGAACAGTTCCTTGGCATATATCCAAGCTGAATGTGGCATGGAGGAAAAAGTGTTCAGGTTCCCAGTGTGTATATATACGTGATCAAAATCCTCAGCTCATTAAATTGGTATGTGCAGTGGAGACCAGCTACTGATTTATGTTTTCATCTATTCAAGGTTAAATTGGATTGCAAATTCACACTGTTTAAGGAGAGCTGAGATTTTTGCTTATATTTGAGTTCTTCTAAATTAGAAGGCACATRACTCTAAGCTTCATGGACCTGAAAATCTAGGTCTGAGTTAATATGATGCCTATACCATTGGTTTCACTCAAGCCTTTTGTATCAGAAACCACATGTACACAGCCTCACATTGCGAAGCAAGATTAATTTAGCTGTTGGCAAATTATGCTCTGTATAACAGTGTTCTGTGAATAACTTGGATTGCAAATTTTACTCCTTAATATTTGCAATGCAAAGTGCCAGTAACATGAACAGAGCACTATTGGCTTAAGTAAAACTTTGCAGAAATTGGAATGACAGGTATCCCCCAAAGAAGGGGATAGATGGTGGAGAATTAAACAACGTAAGGCCCACTGAGTCAGATATTAAAAGCCTTGCAATAAATTAGAAGATAGATATAGCTGCAAAGATTTTAGAACTGCAGCCCTTCTCTTAGAACTCTTTGAACTGCTGTTGCAATATCTGGAGCACAGCAAACTTCCTATGATCTGCCYAGCTTGGAGGATTCAGCTACTGTGGGTGACATTAACTGTTTATAGGGTCATCCTTCCAAATGGCACCGATTCAGGTCTCTAAAGGAAAGTGGAACATGGGTATTAAGCTATTACCCTGTGGTGAAAAGCACCATTTTTTGTCCTAGTGACTCCTTATATGCAATTGCTCTTCAACTTTCTCACTTTTAACTTGGTAAAGATTTTGATTACTTTCTTGGTGTTTGCAAATCATGAGTATAAGAAGCCCAAGTAGCATAGAGTACAATTTTCTGCTGGTACAGAAACAGTGAAATCCTCATGGCTCTTATACTGTGGTTCCTGTTAGTTACTTACCAATAGCTGTCATTTTTCACAAGCACAAAGATGCATCTCTGCACCAGTAACAAAAGATACYGTGTTCCTTATAGCAGTGAGATTCAGAGATCTGACTCTTCTTGAACTTTGTATTGCTGATGATTTTTCCCTGAGTTCTGTTCAGCCCTAAGACATTTGCATCCTTCCACATGTCTGGATTGGTTCCAGTCTTACATGTTGATGTGTTCGAGGCCAAACAAATTTCTTTCCTGGTGTCTAGCCGCCATTTACTAGCTGAAGATCACGCCACGTTTTGCTGTTTGCTCCTGGTTCCTCCCCACAGCTCTGCCATTGGAAGAGGCCAAGCAAGCATTCCCTAGCGCACCACAAGCAAAGCCAGCCTGGTTAGCTCATATCCATATTCATCACCAGGTGAAATGAATCTGGCTGATGTAGCTTGAAGCAGATTAGGAGGCCATTTGTTATCCCTCTTGCTAAAACAGCAGATTGTGGGATACTCGGAGGCAACAACAAGCACTGGAGACAGTGCTGTCGTCTCCTAAAGAGAATGTCTGCAGCCTCAGAGCTTTTCCACGCTACTGTCCTTGAACACAAGCTTATAGTAGTCAACTTTTATGTTTTTTTTCTACATACCTTGCCTTCATTTTTACTTTAGTGCCCCCTCCAAAAGATATTTTTTGACATCTTAAATGAATCTTCTCTCTTTGGCTTGCTTTGTCTCTTTTGATTAATTAAATTTGTGTTTATGTATCAGGTTCCTTTATCTCATCTCTTCAGTTCCATCTCTTACTTTCCATTTGCCTTCGTTATACCTTGCCGTCCATGAACTGTTCTGAACTCTTCCAGTACGATATTCAGATCTAGTAATTCTCTAATTTTAGCATGGAAAAACCTTTGCTGCAGCACTAGCATTGAGAAGAGAGACCTCTCTTCCCATTGCCACATTCCTTCTCACTCTTATATAAAATCTCAACTGAAAAGGTGCATTCTTTGTCTGACCACAGCTGTACATTCCTCCTTTTCCTGCTACTCTTCCTTTTGTGGTACACTTTTGTAAAAGCAGTGTCCATGCAACTGCACTGTTTGTATTTGCAACTTTCAAATATGTTTGGATTTGGAGTTTTCCGGATGGATGATGTATTAAGATTTAATCTAAGCCTCATCAGATACTATTGATCTGCAATGAAAAAGCTGTATGATTGAGATAATAGCAGACACAGCTTAAGTGCTGAGTGATGAGTGCTGACTGAAAGGTGATACTGCAGAARTTTGGTGGTGAAGAAGAAACAGGACATTTACAAATCAAAATGCTTTCTGATTATTTAAATATTGTAATACATTTTTTAAAAATTTGTTTAATTTTTTCAAGGTTTGCCTGACTTTTGCTGTTCCTATGGGGTGGTATAGCAGCAAGCTTCCAGAAACTGCTCAGCCTGCTCTAAGCAACATCTTGATATGAACTTTAAGGTCTGTTTTGCCAGAGTGAATGCCCGAAAGTTGGAAGACATAAGAATCAAGCCCAAGACTTCAGATTCCTGGTGGGTGCTCTCTAGCCATTTCAGATAGTTTCACCTCTACTTCCTACTTCAGTGTTAGCCCTCATTAGGAACCACATATTTTGCTTCCAAAGTCAGTCTTGTGAAATAAATCCCTAGGTATTACTGTATTGCTGTAGTTTGTGAGCCACTTTGTGTTAGAGCCATGAGCAACAACTGAGCCTTGCCCAGAGCAGCTTTTAATACAAGTCCTGTGTGCAGGGGATAGACAAGGGAAGCTGTTACCCGATGTGTCTTAGTTGCCCTGGCGAAACATGCTGAATTACTCTAGTAAGTGTATTTTGAACTCTGGCCTTCAGTTTCACTAGTTCCAAATATGGATGCAGCTCTAAAAGAAATGGAACAATTCAAATGCCTTTCTGAATGCATATGAAATGAAATAAGTTACTGTAATTTTGCAGGGCAAGCCAGCTCTGTAGAGGGGGCAAAAGTTGCAAGTGGAAAAACAAACAAATGGATGACTAAGTGTGGGAGGGGCTGCCAGAGAATCAGAAAGATAGAAGGGGGAGGGAAAGACTCTTCTCTGCCCTAAGACAATTTGTAGAAAACAAAATGTGGGAGAGAGTTGAAAAAAATATACTTTTTTTGTTGTTGTTTGTTTGTTTAAGTCCAGCCATAACCAAGCTGCCTGGAYACGCAATGCTGCAATTAAAGAGGACCAGCTTTAAGGGCTTTGAGAGAGAAAACAYGAATTTTCACCATTGTTGTTCAGGTTTGGCCTTTTTCTGCAGCTACTCAGCGAGGAGGTGAGTCCCTTGGTCTAATCTATAAATGGGARGAATGACCAAGATTCCCAGATGCAGGGAGTTTTCAGTCAATGAGCTGTGGGAAGCATGACTATAAGCTACCATTCTCTTTTTCCAACTCCTGGGCTGATGAGAAATCAAAACATGGTTTAGATCAGCCTACAGGTATGGAGGATGCTTCACCTCACATGAACTAGGGTGGGAAGTGAAGGAGGAGAGTGCTGCAGAGCTGCTGGCTGCCTGAGCCCAGGGAATCCTCCGCAGCCCATTTGGGGCAGGATCAGAGTTTCTGAAGTGCCAAGGGGTGCAAGGCAGCTGCTCATGGGGCTGGGAGCTGGGCTTCCTACTGCCCTGCTCAGCCACCCAGCCACAGCACCATCAACCACTGCTAGAGGGGTGGGCTGAGATTGCTGGTCCAAGCCCAAAGGCAAAGCAGGGGGGCTGCTTTTAATAAAAATGTAGTTTTTATTTGTGGCGAAGCTTTTAATATCTGACTCAGTGCGCCTTATGCTGTTATGCTTCTCCACCATCTATCTCCYTTAATAAAAAGGTAGTTTACAAACAGCATTTTTCTTATTGCAATGATAAAATAGATGTGACACTGTTACATTGCAGAACCTTAGTTTTCAGTACTATTATTTTCTTTAAAACACTAAAAAAGAAAACAAGCAAAAGGAAAAAAAAATAAAAGGAGGAGGGGAGAAGAAAACTCCCTTCAGACAACAATCACCTTTTGAGTTAAGTTCTCATGCTTGGTCTTAGCCCAGAGGGATTTGTCTTGAGTGAAGTTTGAAGAAAATCCTTTCAGCAGTTTCTGAGTTATTTAAATGTAACCATGGAGGTTTGGATTCAGATGCTTTTCTGCGCTTGTATAACTCAAAAATAGCTTTGCTTTAAAACTTCTAAATTAACCCTCCTTAACTTTTCAACTTGTCACCTATCCTACTGTATGACTTATAAAATTTTAAAGCTAATAGTATAACAAACTCAAATAATGATACTGCAGATGTTCAAATGAATCTTGGGAGGAATAAATTATAGGAGTCACAGTAGGTTGTTACTGAAGAAAGAGCGGCTGCATGCTTTAAACCATGTGTTTCATACTGGCCTCAAATAGGTCCATTTTTTTATGCTTTTCTGCTTTAAAAAAGGTTAAGTATGTTTGGGTGTGGCTAATACGTAGGTTTGTGGGTTACATATATGAAGCAAAGCATTTAAGTCCTCTTCCTTTTTTTTCCTGGTACCAATGCTTCATTCCTGTCAGAACATTCTCAAATGTTGCTGCTTTCTTCTTAACATGATCCTAGTCAACAGGACATTTAAATGCCTCCTTAATATTTATGGACTTGAAAGGCACTGAAGTGCTCTGTGCTTGTCTTTATTGTTATTATTTTACTGCCAGAAAATTGAGGAAATGAGAGGTGAAGTAATTCGGTCAGTCATGATTTTTCCTTTTTCTTTGTCCAATCCTCCTGTTGCTTTCTTACGTTTCTTTCTTTCTGTCTCCTTTCCAATGTTTCTTCCTCACTTACTAGCCCTGTCCTCACCACCTCCTGCCTGTCCTTCAAACATCTTTCTCCACTTATTGTTCTCTAACAATTGCACTGAGAGAGCCCATGATGGAGAAAAATGTTTTTTTTTTTTTGCTTCGGTAGCAGCTTTTTACATTTATCTCCTCGCTAAGTACTTGAGATAGGGCCAGGCAGCGCTACCCACTTTCATCATCTCTCTTTGCATCCCCTGTAACCCCCAAGTCTAGCCAGCAATCGCTTTGTGCCACGAGAGCAGCTCCCGTGGTCAGAGCCACCCTGCTCTGTGGGGTAGCCCGGCGCCTGCCCGCAGCTCCTCGCCAGCCTCGCTCTGCCTCCACMTAGGAACAGCTCCCAGGAGCCAGGTCTCCCTGCAGGGTAACGACACATCGTCTGCTGCCTTCTACCCCTCTCTCTTCCTTCCACCTATTGCCTTTATTTCTTTATTTTTCTGCCAGGCTTTTGTGGTTCAACCTACTAGCTGGTACACTTCAGCCAAGAYGTGGGAAACTTGTATTGAGTTCAGGGCTCAGCCTGAGGGGATTGAACTTGAATCTCTTGGCCCCCGGATTAGCAGAGATTCAAGAGTTTATAAACTGCTCTGTGAGGACTGTGCCTGGAGTCCTTTCCATGAGTGGGAGAGCCCAGAGCATCGTGGAGGAGACACTCACCTGGAGGGGAGGAAACACGTCTGTGAGGCCCTGCTCCAGTGAATACTTAAGACAAAATATGGAAGTACTCACTGGACGGGAGTAACAGACCCCAGGTTTCTTCCTCCCAGTTTTCTCCGAGAGCAAGCACACATGGCAATCCAGTTAATAGCTAATTATTCCATACCAACTGGAGCTGCTCCAACGGGATGGATTGGAGGGAGCCCCTGCTCCGCATGCTATTTCAGGCTGTGCTGCTCTCGTTGGCTGCTGTAGGTCAGCTTGTCTCACACCCCGGGCAGCAATGGCAACTGCCACTGATAAAGTTACGGGATGAAGTGGTGAGGAAATCTGTGGAGGCTGGAGAGAAGGGAAGAAAAAGGTCCTCCTGAACGCACTATATTATCCCTGGTGACAGATGTGTATCCTTAGCTGAAGCAAGCACCTGCCACTGCTACCTCAGTTACCGCTCTGGGCAGCACTGATGGTGCAAATGGGCTGGGAAGGAAAGAGTCTTTTAAACAGGGCAGCAGATTGGGGCACTGTGAGGGAAACTGCTCTTAAAGGTGGAAATACAACAAAAATAGACTAAAGCATCTTAGAAGACAAAATCAATGCCAAAGCAGGGGAAGCCAGAATGACTTCCAGAGCTCAGCTATAGGCAGTTGTCCCCCAACATAAGCCAGACTCTGTCAGTATGTGGGAGACATCCAGGAATTTTCTTTCCTACAAAAATACTAGAGCCATTATATGTTTTAACTGTAATGGAAAAAAAATGGAGCTGTAGTGCTCAGTTCCAAAGGAAAACACTAACTATTGGAAGTGATGCAGTGCAGCGGGCTGTGTGTTTGGCTGCTTCCTTTTCTCCTCGGGGTTCTATAGCTTCCTTCATTCTTCGCTTCTCTCATATTACAGAAAGGAGGTAATTTTTCCTGGCCATTTACTAAAGCTCATTAAAGACTGAAGAGAACAAACAATGCTACTCCTCAGAGACTACCATTCAAAGTCATTCTACAATTCTAATACTTGAGACAAATTAATTATTCCTTAGTGAAAAGTGTATAATTTCTATTCTTCATTTTTGGGGTGGGGAGTGGGGAATAATAATAGGAAGTTTATAYCTGAGTGGAAAGCTGTCTGTGCTGAAGGGAAATGAGAAAAAATGTATGTTCCAAAAAGAGTGAAAGCAATTATTCTAATAATAATTCTAGGGATATTAATGTCTTTTTAAAGTAGATTGCTTTCAAATAAACACCAAAGTTGAAGGCATAGGAAAAGCTGGTTTATTTATTAATCATTCCAAAAGTGCATTCTTCTAAATGAACAAGTGCACGAGCAACTTTGCTGGCACATATTAAATTTAGTTGAACAGCAACTTGTAAATGTCTGAAAACTTCTGTAACCAGAGACTAATTTGTTTAACGTGTTGAAAATGTTATGTGGATGTGAGGAACTACATATTAAACTTCAAAGCAAAATGCTCCAGAGATTACACCATCTTAAAGACTGCCTATTGGAAAGGGGTTTATACATGAAACATAAAGGATTTTTAATTCTCCCGTGTCCTGAACACTTGTCAATCTATGTGACTCATGCTCAGGACTGTAAACTGTCATTTAAGGTGTGATGTCCAAGTTGAAGCCTGGACCATGATTTGCAAGGGGCTGGATTTTCTCTTTCATCTCTATTAATTAATCCTGTCTCAGTTTGCCCAGCGTACACTTCTGTTGACATCACCTTCTCCATATACTTTAAAGAGTCCCTAGAGAGATCTACTGCAGAACAAAAACTGGACAGAGAATACATTTGGAAACCATTTTATTTTTCAATTACCAACCAAAACGTATGGAAAAGATTTACACTCTATCTGATTTACAGAATAATTATACTTTGAAAGCTTAGAAATGAATGGCTTGATCCTTGGAATCATTAGTTACAAATGTACCAAATGTAATTGGTGTAAACTAATGAGTTTACTGGATGGCTGACCCTTAATTAGTGATTATAGCTAAACTCTGGCCAATCAAAAATGAGTTTGCTTCTAAAAGTACAGTATAGTATTAACAAGCATTGCATTTCCAAGTAAGCAGCTTTGTGATTAGTTGTAGCACACAACTCAGGCCTGTTCAGGGCTATCAAAAGCAGCTATTTAAAAATAGTGCACTAAGCAACCGTCACTCTCTTACCTCAGCATCTATCAGACAAACAGAAAGAAACCACATAATTAATCATCTCATGTAATAGAAATAAAGCATCTGGGCCTGATCCAGCCAGGATGTTCATAGCTGCCTCAGTCAAATGAGCTACAGGAGGCTGGGCATGGCTTTTAGACAGAGTACTTGGGGAATTCTGGCCCTCTGTGGGAGCAGTATGTGATATGGAAGCTGAATATTGATTGATTGTGTGCAATCCTGTGTGATACAGAGAAGCCTACTGACAAAACAGATTTAATAATTCCTCGAATTGAGCAGGATTCCTTGAGAAGATTTAATAAGTGCTGTGAAGACATTTGGTTACTGTACTGGCAATCCCCAAAATTCAGAAATCACCAATACTCACTATTTATTAGATCAAGTGAGGAGTCAGCTTCCAAATAAAACAGCAAGCAGGACAAGATAGTCTTTTTCAATGTGCTTCTCATTCATCCTTACCAATTAATGTTTTTACGTGGTTAGGAAGATTAACAATTCCTATTAAAAATACATTTTAAAAAGCAGATTTCTATAAAAATCCTGATTCCAGAGCTGGAGCTTTAAATAGATAGACCAAATTTTGATAAAATCATATAACTTTACAATGTTCACAGTCACATTCTTAAAYGTATTTAGAGAAGTAGCTGCAGCATTTTAAAGAGCTGGAATTTCTCCCTTTCTCCCATATCGTTCCTATGAATCCCAAACTTCAGAGAGGAGCCTGGTAGGRTACTCTGCTGCTCTGGAGATGGAGTTAGAAGACTGTGTATTGGCTGGAGCCGTGGAGTGCTGGTGCTCCAGAGGAGCCTCCTGGACCTCGCGGGTGCCAGGCTTCATTCTGGCTGGGTCACAGGTCTCCTGTTTCTGCTTAGTTCCATCACATTCTCTTTGGTGCCCCCCTCTTATCAACACATCGGCTCACTAACATGACCATCCTCATCTGCAAGTTCTTCGCAGATGTACAGCACAAGTGCTGTAGCATTTCCCTGCTTATTAGTATGAGCATTTTTTTAGACTCGGAAACCCAAGAGTTAGTGTATAGAATGTCTGCGCATGGGTTAAAGTGAAATTCATGCATTTACTGAACTCTTCTTTAGATGTGTATGGGGTCAAGAAGAGGTTAAAGTTGTTTACTGCTTTCAAGTTCTGCCCTTAGAAGTTAAATCAGAGCTGTGCTGTGAGCTGCTCAGGGCGTAAGTCCTTGGAGCAGTGAATTGCTGGTTTGATAACAAGGCCCCTAATAATAAAAGCGGTTTCTTTAGGAAATCTTAGCAGGGACTTTGTGGTCATATAAAGTCGTTATACTATTTTAAACTGTCGCTTTAAACGTATTTTGGAATGGTCAGGGTTTTTTGTTGTTGTTTTTAATACATGGGTTATCCTTAAACTGATATAGCTATAACTCTGCCACTTGGCATAGGGAAGTGTCTGAAGGTGCTCTACAATTCAAAGGAAAGGCAAATGATATGATACCTGCCTATGACAGGTAATTGGGCTGTACCTGTCCAGGGGAGCTTGTTGCCTTTAATGGATTCCATGCACTTCCTGACAATCAGCTCCAGCTATGCATGAGATGGGATGCCTGGGGTAATCTAGGGCTTTTACTGCAATTTCACGAGAGGAGATAAGAATACCTGAGAAACTTTACCGGCTTTGTTTTTCACAGCTCTCTGTTGGAGAGTTCAGGAGTGAACAGTTTTAAAAGATGTGGAAGAGAAAGGGCATATTTTCCCAAACTTTAGGATTCTGTGAGCTCAAGAACGGAGAAAATACTAAACTAGTCAAACCCTTTCCTCTCCATCCCCTGAACATTCTGGTAAGACAGGTGCTGCCACTTCTGTTCTGCTAATGCTGTGACACATCCTCCTGTGAAGAGTGATAAGGGAGAGGGGGAAGAATTGAAGGTACTTGCAGATGGCACCTGTGGCACTTGGGAGGAGGGGAACATGCCATGGGCAGTGACGCCCTCCCCAGGGCATTGTCCCTGTGACAGCACGGAGGAAAGAGGGGCGCCTAGGGGAGAAGGGAACAAGCACTGTAGGGCCTCATTTTCCTCCTCTAAACTCTGCCCAACTACTTGCGTAAAGGAAAGCATCAACTCCATCTTATTCACAGAAATACAGCATATTTTAAACCTGTAGTTAATGGATAAACTCTTTTCTGATTGGATGAGCCAAACAATAAATCTCTTGCGTGAGGCATGTGCAGTACAGCACAGCGAGCCAGTCTCTTTGCCGCGCGGGCATACATCAGGCAAAAGGATGCCATCTTCATCAGTCTTTTAGTATAATAGAAATAAAACAATTGTAACAGAATGGTGTCACTGGAACCATGGCACCTGCTTTAAAAATAAATCTTTAGCTTTGTCTTCACTATTACTTTCAATAAATGTCCTAGCATTGCCACAGCATTTATCTAGCAGCAGGAAACCATTATGCTATGACAACAATCTATTCCATTAACATTAGCTCTTAATTGTACGATAGTTTATAAGACAACAAAAGCTACTGAATTATAGTAGAATGATAAAAAGAATTATTGTCATGGAGTATAGTAGTCACTCCAGTTATGAAAAACAATTTAAGAAAAGTAGGGAGCTATATTTTATATTAAAAATAATGTAATATTCTTATGCAAGAAAACATTTAAAAATGCATTGCATCAGAGAAGTAAGTACTGAAGAGTTAATTTAAAAAAATTGTATCTAAGAAATCTTTGCTTTGATAAATGGTGGAACTAAAATCCTGAATAGAAAGCTTAGAAACTTGCACAACCCTTCATGAAAGCAAGGCTGCGACGAGTCAAACAGAGAAATCATTATAATAGAGGCACATTTATCTATCAGAGTGAACAGAAGGAATCTTGCAGAACTGAGATATGATGAATCTAACTGCAGAATAGAAAGAGAACTGTCATTCTGATTATTTGTCATTATTGTTTCATGTCCAGTCAAGTGAACTTAGAGTGACAGTTGTGTCATAACTACTGGCATCTATGTAAATTTTAAATCAAATATGATAGAGGCATTTCTGCCAGACACGAGTAACCAGGCTGCTCTTCCTCTTTATTTTTGTAACTCTCCATTTTCTCATACTGTTCTGCAGTAACCTTTAAATAAAAAAGGTAATTTCATTAGGAAATCCCTTTACTGCATATGTTCTTATTCCACATCTTACTTCCTCTTGACTTTTTGATATAATGGATAATGCTGGAATTTGTATCATAAGCAATCACACGCAAAAAAAAAAAAAAAAAAAAAAAAAAGACCTAGATATATTAGCTAAGACTATACCTTCCCATAGGCAATCCATCATACAATGAAATCCTTTGCAGCGCCAGGATGTGGACTTCCCTTGAAGACTTAGGGAGAAAATGGCCCAAGCCCGTGAAGCCAGCGTGCCGCCCTAGCAAAATAGGTGGTAAAAAAATCAGAATGGCCCCTTGCTATGAATTACAGCATCATTCAGAATTTATCAGGACTTCACATGGATATCATATGTACTCTTCCATGGCAGTGTGTTATAGTGAAGAGTATAGAGTTACTCATTTCCTGGCTGCACTGATAACATGCAGATATTCTCATGACRTAGGATTTGCTACTGGATACAAGGCTTTGAAAAGACTTCAAATACAATTCCAAATGCATTATGTGTGGATACCATTCTGCACATTTAAACTTAATTAATTAAAAGTTAAGAGAGGCTAGAATTTTCATTTTTTATTGTAACAAATTAGTCTAGAACATTGTTTTATAAACTTCTGCATAAGACTGTTTTCAGATATCGTACCAAAGTACAGCTATTTTGTTCCAAAAATGTTCCTATGACAAATGAAAGTTTAAAAAGTGGCTACAAGAAAAAAAAGGTCATCTCTAAATAGAAAATATTTAATATGTTTGAGTGATTTCATATCTCAGAGGGAAAACAAAAAGGATAAGTTTATTCTCTGCTGAAATTTTTTGAAGTGAATTCTGACTGAAAAGAAGTGGCAGTGATTTAACAAAATGATATTGTTATAAAGTATGATTTATGTTCAGAAGCATAAATGACGGCATTATAAATGTGTACTTCTGCATTAAGTAAGGGCATTTTGGTCAATTGAATTAGTCTTTTTTTTTTTTTTTTAAATCCCAACTGATTGATCTTTTTTGTCCTGTAAGGATAAAGCAGAACATAGGCTACTTTTACCCCAAAGATTTTGGGTCTTTACACAGGCCAGAATCGTGCTGTTCTGTCGTCTAATATGCCAGTTTATTGTGGTGACTGGTGAAAAAGGCAACATTTAATCTAAATTCTATTAAAGTATATGTGTAGAAAAGAACATATTTTTCTTCCTTAAAAGGTAGGTTCCATTTTTTTTCCTTTTTAAAGACAGTGATACCTGAGTTATAAAAACAGTGACAAAATATTATATACATATATATATATATATATGATCACAATAATCATCAGTATATTTTTTAGAATATCAAAATAGCTTTGGCTAATGTACTTAAAAAGTCCCTTGCTTTTCTGGATTCTGATGAATATAGCATTTCTAGTTGCAAGATTATTTTATATAATGAACTTCTTTGTTAAAGATGTATATTCTAGTGGCCTATAGGGACTTTTAATTTAAAACACAAGTGACACATCATTCCATGCTCCTGTGTCCTTTGACTTTAGTCACCAAATTCACTTTTGAATCTATGCATGGCTAATGATAATCTGTCAAGCCTTTCTATAGAAACTTTACTTATATGAAGTCATTACAAATATAGCCTATATCATCTTTAAGTGGTCTCCATTATTAATGTAAATATGTATTTATAATTATTGACATTTATATTATTTGTCCCTTGTTATTGATACAGTGGTGATAAAAGGGCCTTACCAACTCCTGCCTAAATGAACTATTCTTACTAGTGACCTTCCATGGAACCAGACTCTTGAAAATAATGTTACTCATGGTGTTTACCAGCAAGTCGAGATTTATGCTTTATACCTAAAGGTGMGTTACCTTTAAAGGTGAGGAGCTGCAAAGCACAGCCTGCTGTTTGAGAAGGAAAATTRAGAGTCGAGCTGTCCAGAATTCCTCACAGCTTCCATTGATTGGGATGCACACTTTCTCATATCATTAGATATCCCACTTTAATAATTAAACAGTCACATTCTTGTTTAAAATCCTAAAGCAGAAGATTTTATGCTAGTGAAGGGGTGTTTTATTTTAAAATAACAAAGAGCTGTTGATTTTCTGTCACCGATTCCAGGGAGACTGGGGGCTTGGAGATTTGTTTTAAAAGTTGAAATGCTTGTTTGAAAGGTGGAGTTTGGAAGACCCAGGCCAGCTAAGTGCAACATGGCAGCGCTTACAAGGAAGTGGCAGCCTCAACATCTCTAACAAGAAAGGAAAAGACAGATGAGATCCCTTAGGAATGCAGTATTTAAGGAGAGAACCAAGAGTCCTTTCATGAATGGAGAGAGCACTCCGGTGAGTCCTGGGCTATCAGCTGTCTTAGCGGCATGTCGGGGTTTAAGAATGATTTGGATCACAAGCTCTAACATTTTCCAGACATTCAGATTGCAACTTTCTACTAAGCCAGCAATTTTATGCTTGCCTTTCCCTGACTCCAACAGTACCTTAATATAAGCAGCCAGATTTTCTCCTGCATTGTTTTTTATCCATTCAGCCAAAATTAGCAGTCTTCGAGGATGAACTATGCCAAGTGAATTTAAATCTTGCGGACTAAAATCCACCTAAAGTTGATGGATATATTCATGCCTACTGTTGAAATCTACCAATTACTGAGAACTATGTTAACTTACCATAGAAACATCTCATCTAATAGCACAGATGATGTTGAACTAACTAATTACATTATGGCACATAGACAATGAAAAACATAACGAAGATGACAGAACAGCAACAGCAGATGCTGCACAAAAGAAAAATTAGAAAAATACTGCTCTGCAAAATGCACTCAGTTAAGGTTCCCTCTGTTAAAATTAATCACAAAAATTAGTGAAGATTAGATTTCAGAAAAAGATAGGAACATTATAATGATATTTGGAGAATGTCATTAAGCCATTTAAAATTCTGCTTCTTGAGAAGGTAATTCCCATTTTTCTTATCAGTTCTAAGACTAGTAAACATTTCACTGCCTATGGCACAGTTTCTTGGTAGAATATCTTTTCCAATAAGAAGAGCTACTGACGGTTCTTCCAGAGCCTGGGTTTGGTAGCTTCCAGCCATTATAGCCTTAAATAATTAGACAGCTTAGACTTTGTTTTAGCTTGGCGTTCGCTCTATCCTTGTGCTCTTTGCTGTCGGAGAGCTGGAATAACAGTGATAGTTGATTATCTGTAGCACGCCTTGTTACTTTATATATTTTAAATTGTAACAGATCCTATATGACAAATCCGAAACTGCTGAGTATGTTTAAATGTAGTATTATGTATCTGGAGATTACATCCAGATGACATATTTCATAGACATATGATAAAAAGAAATGCACCATTTACTGTTACCCACAGCACGGGCCCTCTCCCCCCGACCCCGTGGATTCTCGTGCAGGAGCTCCCCATCTCCTCAGCGTGTGGATTCCACAGAGCCCTCTCTACAGACAGAAACAGTGTGTTCCCCTGTATTTAAATGATACCCGCACTGCTCGGATTTTATTATTGCCGTGGGTATAAGATAGAGGYGGAATGCAGGTGCGAGGCGCCGCGTTCCCCACGCACGCTTTCGCGGGCAGAGCTCTGTATTTTGGGTAAGGGCTGCGGGCGGGCGGGCGGGCGGCAGGAGGCAGCGAGCCCCACAGATGGCGCTGCGGGCCCGGCGCACCTGGCTGCCGGTCACCGCCACGCGCTCCGCCACGCGCGCTCGCCGGGGACCTGCTCGGCATTTTAGCACGAGCGCCTTCACTTGTAAATAAATTTTCCTGGCAAAAGGAAATTTCAGACGCTTGTAGCTGTAGATCGCTTCTGCACGAGGCCTTAACAGGGGCAGGTTTAAAATATTTCGTTGCCTTGGGCAGCGCAGAGGCAGCRCACCCGCAGGAACTCGTAATTTAGCCACACTGCAGTCATAAAACATGCAGCCGACAGCAGCAATTAGCGCTGCCACCCGGCCGAGCGGGCGCGCTCCCCGCGCAGGGCTCTGGCTGCCGCYGCTCGCCCCAGCCGGGCTCCGCGTGCCCGGCCACCGCTGCCCTGTGGCCACTGCCGCGTCCCACCRTGCCGACAGTATTGGCTGCTCCTTACGTCAGCGCTCTGGAATCAAGAAACCAACATTGCCAAGTTTTATGTTGCGGAGCGGGCCGGGAAGGGTGTGCTGTACCCTTGGGCTGCAGCGAGGTGCCCGCGTGGGCTGCACGAGCAGTGCGCAGCCCCACGCGAGGCCTGTCCTCGCAGGGCGTGAAGCCCCCACTCACTGCGCTTGCTGTGCCSAGGCCCACGAGGGACCGTGTGGCCACGGACACTTGCCACAGTCAGAGCAGGGAAGGGGTTGCTGGGCTTTTGCTTATCATGTGGGCTGAGCTTAGGCCCCAAAAAAGTGCTTTTAATATGTATTTTTTTTTCAAGTGTTATTACAGAGTGTTACTTCTGTTTTGCTACTGCACTTCAGCTTCTCTTCCAGAAAGGCCGTTGTCTTTCTGAATGACAAGCAGCACTGCCGCCTGCTAGCTGCTTGCAGCAGCTTAGCCCTTCAAAATCAGCACGGGGCACGAGCAGCAGCTGTGTCACACAGGTGTTGGTATTTAAGCAGAACTGCCCGGTTYCAGGGGAATTCCTGAACAAGTCTGCGGTGTGGCCCTGGCCTGCCTCGCCGGGCCCGGCCGCTCCCYGCCCGTCCCGGAGGCCACGGCTGCAGCTGCGGGACGAGGCCCGGGCAGCCGGGACGGCCTCTGGCCCACAAGTTTCTCAACTGGTGTCCGGGAGCGGGTTGGGCGCGGGCGCCCCAACGGCCGCTCCAACGGCCGCCCTAACGGCCGCTCCCGCAGCGCGCCCGGGCGGCGGCGGCCACCGCTGCCCACCTGACTCCCTCCCTGCTCCCTCCCTCCATTCCCGTCCTCCCGCTCGCTCTGCCCCCTCCTCCAGATTTTTTTTTTCCTCCTCTTTCAGTCATTCCTTTGTCCTCGCCGGGATTGGCAGGTTTTATTATTCCGCCTGAACAAGCCGGGGGCGGATTGGCTGCGGCGCGCTGACGGAGGGAGCCGAGCTGGAGTGTAGTTGGGATTCTGCTCTGTCAGTAACACATGTGTGAGGGGCAGCGCGGAGCGGCCGCGCGCGCACGGGCGCACACGGACACGCAGCCGCGCCGAGCGCC